TGACATCAATTGCACGCACACTACAAAAATGCTCTGCCGAGGCTGCCCACCTCTGATCTAGATGATCTAGGAACATTTTTGTATAAAAAAAAATGTCGCTTATGTCTTTTTGGCGGTTAGGTATTGATATAATGCACTGCATTTGGCGTTCTATTTTGTTCAATACCACCCACTTCCGTGAGTCTTGCATAGTAAATTGTAACTAACAAACTAATTCGCTTGTGTCATTTTTAAAAAATTGTGAAATCGTGCTTTTGATCAAACCAACCCAAACTGCATCGAGAAGATAGTAAACTATTTAGTAATTTTATTTCAACATACTACTTGTTACCTCTCCTTGAAATGTTTCATTTACATTTTCGTTTTCGTTGGATCCACCATTTATCACGGAAAAGCTAAAATCGAACGTACGTACATGGCGTATGAGTAATGTGACCAACCGTGTTGCTTCCGGAAGTACAGTACTTATTTTTTCGCTCTTGTACTTCGTACTTTGAAGTACAGTCAAATGCACTTCTTTTCGTAATTTTGTACTTCAGGAGGAAGATTTTGTAACCAGTAAGCGACAATTTTTGGTTCGCTATCATACTTTTTGATGCATGATATACATTTTGACGCATGCTATTATGCGTCAAAAAGTGTGTTAGCGAATCGAAAATTGTCGCTAACTGGTTCCAGGCATATCAGTCTGTCTTCGTTTTTACTAAAAACGCTAGAGAGACTGATAACCCTAAACATAGGAAACACGATTCCTCGTGACTGTCTTTCAAAAGCTACTTTTGCAAGAATACCGCCTAAAACACATTGGTAAAGTGGTCAGAGGAACCCCTTCTCCGCATAAAGATTATGCAGTAGGTGCCATATTCGATAGCAAGGGGGCCTTCAACAATGTCACTCCAGAGGCAAATAATCTGGGGGTTGAAACCAACCTAATAAGGCTCATCTACAGCTAACTTCGTGTCAGAACTATCGCGGTGGAGTGGAGGGGCGCCTGCACTCTCGACTGCGGTTGTAAACGACCTTCTAGAGAAACTGGAAAAAGTGGGACGTCGGATGATCGCCTGTGTAGATGATGTGGAACTTTTGGTTAAGGGACGATTTCTAGACACCCCTTTTTGATCTGGTTCAAGGTTACCTGAACCAGGTAACTAGATGGGTGATCAACAGCGGCCTAACATTGAGGTAAGGGTCAGAAAGGTGTCGGTTGCCTTACCTCTGCTGCAGCAAATGTTTTTATAGGGCACTTTAAAACATTTTACCTCTCAAGGGATAGTGATGGGGGTTCTGACTTGCTATTGTGCGATTGGTATTCATTCGGCGAGACTGGGAATTTTAACTGATCGTTTTATATCAGCTAAGATGGAAGCATTTTGGTTCGCACTTCGAAATTTCGTAATCGGTTCGCGGCGTGGACTTCACCCAACCTAAGCTATACTTCTTTGAGCAAGTTTTGTGTGGTATTTTGCAAAAGTGGAAATATTCACATCAAAAGCTATGGGGGCGCTAATGGTGCCTTTGAGTGTATCCCAAATATAAATAAATGGATGTACAAGCTAGATCGCCCCAAAAATGGATTGGGTTTCGAGAACCAGTTTAGTCGCGTTGCTATAGTCCCTAACCGTTATTCAACGTCTCACCTATATAGATATGCATTCCGCGAGCGATACGAACGTATCCGGGGATAGCACTAGAGGTATTTCCCTACTTCGAGCTACTCCACATTACCAAAGAACATGCAACCAATTGTCTTTTTTAAACTTTACAAAATATGGTTTGGGCTGATGAAAGGTCTTACTATCCAGCAACAAGGAGCAGCTAGGAACCCAACTCCTGGTACACAGATGGCTCCAAAACCCATAAGTATGTATGTAGAGATTAACTTGCGCAGAAATTACCGTAGTGAGCGAAGAGTGAATCCTCTCTAGTACTGGAGTGTCTTGAGAAGCTTAACGCTTTTTCTGTACGCAATGATTTTCGATTGGAACAGGCCACATGAGAAGAGATGGCAACGGGGGAGCGATTGGCTAAGTCGGGAAACCAGCAGCACCAAATCTCACAAGATCCTGAAAAATTGCTTGCGGTTGACTTCAACATGATCATGGAAGCGCCCAGCAAAGGGACAATCCCCGTAGAAAACAACACTGGAAAATCACAACAGAACTTTATCAAGCTAAAGTTTAAGGGGATGCCTAAAGGTAAACCGAGGATTGTCACGGTCATCCTCACATGACACTATAGGCCAAAAGTACACCTGCTGAAGTTGGTAATCTGGTCAGATGGCATTTGTCGCTTTTGTGACTCAGCGAAAAAGACACCACTGCATTTTCTTCTTCAGTGTGAGGTCGTATAAAGACGACGAGAAAAAAGTCTAGGTTTAGTGTTGCCACAGGATGAGCACATAGACTTCCTAATTCTGGATGGACTTCTAAACTTTCTGGAGGTTGTAGGACTAAGGGAGCCATTGTAATGAATAGACGGCACAATAGACCGGACGAAATTCAGGATAAGGCAGATTATGAATTTTACATAGTGAACTAACCTATGTAGTAGGATTTTCAATTTAATTTTTTTTGCATTCTTTTTACAGCTCGACGAATGTGTTAAACAGTTTATGTGAAGCTTTTTAGCAAATTTAATGGGGTCAGTGGAAGACTAAGTAGTATGTAAAAGTTTCTTTTTGTTAAAATTGTAAATTAAACAATAACTGCAAAAATTAATTGTACTACGCGCAGCTGTTGCTAGAAGTTTATTTATGGGGAGAGGAAAATGTAAACAATTTAATAAAACCCATAGGTCGTATAAATATTTAACAATTCTTTAAAGTATTTTCAGAAACACGGAAGTTTGCAGAAAAATGGGTAGTTTAAAATTTTTATTAGCTGTTTTATTTTTGTGTGGCATTGTTGCTGTATCGGGTAAATCCTTTGCTGTAATTTATATATCGAAATCTTAACTGTGTTGTTTTTATTTCCGACAGGTCAACCTCCCTGCGGGCCCCGTGCATATACCATTCGAGCCGGAGAGCAATATTGCGAGCGGCAATGCCCAAATCCAGTCATTGAGGTTACGCTACGCTGTACCCCTTCCCCCACTACGGCCACCGTAAGAATCTGTCCACCGAATTGCTGCCGTCAGGGGTCGCGGTGTATATGGATCACACAATGGGTCGGTCTCTGACGGCGCATACACCCCCTACCACGGAAAAGCTCTTCTAAACTTTGTGGAGGTTGTTAGTCCTTTGAAACAAAATGTACTATTATGAAGAGAATAAATATACATAAATGTACATATAATTTATACGAGACACGGGTGGGCCGGTGTTTTTTAAACAAATTCACAGCTTAACTTAATGTCTTTGAAGGACATTTAACACTCATTATAATTGAGGCCTGGGTAATGGCGCAAATTTTTTGGCGCAGACACACTAACTCCAGCGCTACTGCCGTAATCAGAACAGTGTGTCAATTCAACTAAATTCAATTCACTGCGTTAATTTTTCAGAGTTGCTTTGCCGATTCATACGGCAGTAATTTTGGCGAACATTTACTCTCAAATTGGCGCATTTTAATTTTGCTTATTCCTGCACATTTTACAAGTTAGTTGCTAAATGTCTTAAGATTATTTCGAAGTAAAATTTTAATTTTCAGCTCCCTTATAAGCAATAATTTTTCAGGTAAAAGAGTCACCGTTTTTGAAATGTTGAAATTTTTTGGAAAAAAAAAAAATTTGACCTTATCATGTATTTTCTCTGACTGCATCTACAAATAAGCTATACTTAGTAAATTTTTTATGTGAATGTGAATGTAGTTAAAATTTATGAAGGAACCATTAAAAATTAGGACTATTTTAGGATTTTTAATTTTTTGATATTTTCTTTCCCAAATTTGACTATCTGTGGTGAAAAAAATGTACCGAGCTATAACTGCACATTACATAAAAAAAAATTGCTCATTTAAAGGTTAAATATTTCGAGCTCGACATCGCCTGGCCGGATTCTAGGATGATTCCCTGCGTTCGATGTCTCCTTCGATGAGACGATACTGCACGGTGTGGTGCGTGATGAACGCTAGGCCACCACCATTATCTCGCTCGCGATCTCGACGGTGCACATTGTATCCGGCGCTATTCAACAAATACTCAAATTTTATTTTATTTGAGACAGAAAGTGAGAATATATTTGTGAGATTGAAAATTTGAAAACATTTTTGTTATGTTAGCAAACTTCAAAAATGTTCAGGCTGCCTCTCAGCGGTTTTACCTTCAAATTTTTAAATCACGGGATTTTCAATAAAATTTTTTTCGCCTTCTTCTTATTGCTCACGATTGTGCTAAGCAGTTTATGTGAAGCTTTTTAGCGAATTTAATAGGATCAGCGGCAGACTAATAGTCCCGTCAGAATGAGTATTTTGCGTACGTGACGCTCAAGCATGCAACTGACAGTTGAGTAGACTGTGTGTGTGTTTGCATAGAGAGCGTCAGATTGGCGACCCTTGCGTCGACGGACTTAACGAACGTTGACCAACTCTCAACTTTTGACGCAAGTAGGTACATCACTGGTGACAGTTGTATTATCATGTGTTTATAGAAGACAAGAGAATTAAAAATATGTATTATTTGTAACATTGTTTGAGTAAAGTAAGCGTCAAGACAATAGACAGTCTTCGAAAATTTGATGGCAGTGACGAAGACAATGAGAGAAGTGCGAATATATTAGTAAAAAAGGGGTGAATGTTTTGCTATTGTATCTGCAAAATTTACTTGTGTAAACCCCAAGTACGCGATCATAAAGAACAGCTGATTTTTGTTTGCAAACGCAACACTTTCATGTAAATATTTAAATAAAACTTTCTTTTTGTTAAAATTGTAAATTAAACAATAACTGCAAAAATTAATTGTACTACGCGCAGCTGTTTCTAGAAGTTTTTTTTTTTATTTATGGTGAGGAGTAAATGAAAACAATTTAATAAAACCAATAGGTTGTATTAATATTTAACATTTCTTTAAAGTATTTTCAGAAACACGGAAGTTTGCGAAAAAATGAAATTTTTATTAACTGTTATATATTTGTGTGGCATTGTTGCTGTATTGGGTAAGTACTTTGCTGTAATTTATACATACATATGTCCAAAACTGAATTGCTCTTTTTACTTTCGACAGCTCAGCCTCCCTGCGGGTTTATTTCATACAACGTTCGAGCCGGTGAACAATATTGTGAGCGTCAATGCCCAAATCCAGTCATTGAGGTTTCGCTACGCTGTACCCGTTCCCCTACTACGACCACCGTAAGAATCTGTCCAGCGAGTTGCTGCCGTCAGGGGTCGCGGTGTATAAGGGTCACACAATAATAATAAATATCTGACAGCACATACATACACTTACCCTGAAAAGCTTTTCTAAACTTTTGGAAGTTGTAGGACAAATAGAGGTATTGTGATGAGTAGAGGGCACAATGGATCTCTTTAGGTCTTAGTAAATAACTCTTTTAATTATCTTTATATTTTTATTATTAGTCCTTTGAAACAAAATGTGCTATTATGAAGAGAATAAATGCAAATATATAATGTATACGAGAGCGGGTTGGCCCGTTTTTTTAACGAGCAGATTAGCTATTGGGCTTTGAAGGGAATTTAACTCTCATTATAATTATTATGGATTTCTTACTGCTCATGAATGTGTTAAACAGTTTATGTGAAGCTTTTTTTGCTGGATGGTCTCAAGCTTCATGGATCTACTATCGTGGCCAGGGCTGCCACTTTGGAAAATTGTTACCAAAATCGGTACAAAAAAATTTGGGTTGGTAAACAGGTAAATTTTTTCTCATTTTGGTAGAGTTTTGTTGAAGTAAGTATTTTGTTAGAACTTTTCGTTCCCGCTTTATTTTTCGTAGTTATCTTTATATTATAAATTTCTATCCAAAAATGTAGTCTGCTTTATTGCTTTAATTTTTGAATCCTTTAACGCACATTTTTTATATACATACATACACATATATAAATGTATATCGATAAAAGGCGAACATATCGTGCTCCATTCAAAATTCATTTTACTGCAATCCTGGGGAGCTTTTGTTTCCCTTAATATTTTTTTTTTTAAAATTACAGACTATGACTGTGGGAGAAAATCAACGGGACTTTTAATTAAGCACATTGTTGGTTATACAAAAATTCCATGAGCTATAAAACTATATATGTTAAATTGTTCTAAAAATTCAGAGTGTTGAATTTTTCTAAATATTGCGTATAGCTTCAATCGTCTATTTTTATTGGCTTGTTAGAAGCACAAACAATATTCTTATACAAAAAAAAAAATAAATAAAAAATAAAAAAATATATCAAAAAAATTTTATGTACTTGAAAAACGTTATAAATATTAGAAAAAAACCACCAAGCCGAAAAGATGCAATTAAAATGATCTCAAATACCGTATTATTAGTTAAACAAAAAGTTCTTAAAAAACAGTTTAATTTTTTATTGAAATAACTAAAAAAATAAAACAAAACTATGGTTTTCATTAAAATAACTAAAGAAAGTTATTGCTAGATATTTTCTAGATTTGGATTTTTTTCAAGTAAATGGTGGGTGTTTTTTTGTCAGTGGCAACCCTGATCGAGACTGACAATTAGCTCTACGTTCTCGTAGCTCTACGTAGCCATGGACGGACATCGATTGCCTCGCTTCACTTGTAGCGGTGTGGTGACATTACTCCAAGGGGCATAACTCCAATTTTAAAATTTGGGATTATGTCACTCCTTGTGTAGTGACATAAACCCATTTTTTTTACTTGAGGTTATGTCACTATATAAGGAGTGATATATTTCCAAACGAATAGTCGACAAAATTCCAAATCCCTCATGCAAACCAAATAATTTGGAATGTACAAGAGTAATGATACAATTTTTATTAAAACACTGTCATGAAGCTGACATCGCCTACATTGTTTTCTTGTCAGCGCAGATAGGCAATGTAATATTAAAACATATGTACATATAACTGAGAATCATTTCTTACTACACGCTACTTTTGCTGAGGTTCCTCAATGTGGATACAAGCAATTGTTTATTATGTACCCTTACTAAGCAGGATTCTCCTTTCTGTGCTATTCAGCTCTTTTCGTTGGATTCAGTGGCGCTCTCTTCAGCAATCGCCGGCGCTTAGCCTGCTTGCTCTGAATTTGTTTAGGTCAAGGAGAGCGGGTGGCCAGGTTTTGAGTTGGGTTCAGGATGTGGGAGTAGAGGAGGCAGGGATAATATTTTGAACATCAGTATTTATCAAGCTCAATAAGCCCTTATGGTTTATGAGCGGGCATCAAGTCAGCAAGGCACTTCATAAGCCTGATTCATATCCGAGAGAGAGAGAGAGAGATATGTGAGGGCAGGCAGGTGAAGCGTTAGCGCAGGATTAGGCTCTTTCACCATGGAAGGAGTTATGCTCTAGCTGTGCAAAAAACTGGGATTTACTCAGGATGTGGGTAGGTGTGCTTAGCCAAAGGCTACCATAATGGTGCCACCTCTGCATGACTCCATGGAGAGTCCTTGTTTGGCTTGTAAGCAGTACATAGCTTACTAAAGGGGTCCCATATAACTCTGGCGATGGAGTTTAGGGATATATGTGTTAAGACTAGGAGCGTTGACGATCGTGTTCCCACCCTAATGTCAGTAAATAAAAGCTCAGCAAAAAATAAATCTTTTTTATCGTTTAGTAGTAGATTTAGTAGAAGAACTCTTTAAACATTTTTTTTTCGCTGAACGTATGTATGTAGGTGTCACCGAATAATATAAAAGGTTACCCCTGGGTTCCGCAAAAAAAAAAAAATCGAATTTACCTTTCAAAAATATTTTAGACTGACAGATGTACGGCGAACATTTTTGTTTGTTTGTAAAGTGGTACGGTTTATTAATCATAGTTGGGAATGCCAGCGACTTATTACGTCAATAAGTTCAGCGAGGAGATATTTGAGAATTGCATAAACAATGCATATCCTCTTATACACATGTGCGTATGGATGTTCGATGCATTTCACTTGGTTTTGTATAGTAAATGCATAAGTAAATTAAATATAATTTTTCATACCCGAGCGCACTTGTGCACAAGGGTATATTAATTTTGTTCACATAACGGTTGTTTGTAACAGCCAAAACGAATCGAGATAGATATAGACAAATGTATACATAAATGATCAGGATGAAAAAAGAAATCGATTAAGCCATGTCTGTCTGCCCGTCTGTCCGTCTGTCCGTCCGTCCGTGTACACGATAACTCGAGCAAAAATTGAGATATCTCAACGAAATTTGGTA